GCCTGATTATTTTGGGTTAAAATCTGTTTATATTAATTCTCTAATTAGCATAATAATTAATAATTTGTTGGTTCTAATCACGTTTCAATGAAATTTGGTACATTGTGCAGACCTTATTAGTTTTACACTTAAATCTGTTCATATTAGTTACCTTATTTGCATAATTATTTTCTGCGTTTCCATCAATATATCAAGTTCAAGTAATTTTGAATTAATTTTTAATGTTGTCTCCAATACTCTCAGCACACGGGAGTTCTTTCTAAGCTTTTTTTGATTTTATTTTTTAAAAAATCATGCCATTTTCCCATCAAAATCCAAGCCAAAAGAGCGTACTACAACATCGTCAAATCTCTTCCGCGTTGCGTTCAATAACATTAACATATTTAAATGAGCTATGGTGATTTGAACGCGTTGGCATCATCCAGCATTTTGATTGGTTAATTTGCGATTTGACCTATTAGCTCAACTCATGCAAGAGAAGTGCATGGCGGATACCCTACCGCATCGAGCGTTTGTATCATTTGCTTACGATGAAACTAAGTTGAATTTTATTTGAATTTCATAAAAATTATCGAATTTATTTTTTTGTGCGTTATTATAATCACTACTGACTAATAATCAACGTTTGTGAAACATAGAATGTCCGGATTGAGCATCTGTGATCATTTGCCGGGATTGTTAATGCAGTTGTGTTCGTTTTTATTAGAAACGTCGTTTAAAATATACTTTTGTTACCAATAAAATAAAAACAAATGTATTTGAAAAATGACACTGGGCGACACTTTAATGACATTTCAGGTGGTCTACTTTTTAATTCAGCAAGAATTATTAATTATTGTTAATTCTGCAATAGTTTCTTTCGTCTTAGAAAGTAGAAAGTCTGTGTAGTTGGATACAATGAAAATGTCCCCCCAAAATATTTGATAATTATTTTTTTAAATTTTGAACCCTAAATAAGCGCACATCTGCCGTGAAATCCCCAGGGCGATTTTTCGGATGGGCGAATTTACGGCAGAATCCGGTATTATATAAAGAAAGTATTATTATGGACATCTCACGCATATTGCCAATGTTTTATACTGTTTGTAGTTTGCATATGAAAGTGGATGCCCCTCCTATTATTCGACGTTGTTGACAATGCGATAACAATGCCACTCGCACTGTGCACATTTTAGCACTAGATCTAGTGCCATTTTAGCGCTAGATCTAGTGCCATTTTAGCACTAGATCTAGTACTTTTTCGGATTAGTGCTACTAGCACTAACCACTCGCACTACGCCCATTTCGACACATTTACATACATGTACATGGTGTGGAGTTATTGTTACATGGTGTGGAGTTATTGTTACATGGTGTAGAGTTATTGTTACATGGTGTAGAGTCATTGTTACAAGGTGTAGAGTTATTGTTACACAGTGTAGAGTTATTGTTACACAGTGTAGAGTTATTGTTACACGATGTAGAGTTATTGTTACACAGTGTAGAGTTATTGTTACAAGGTGTAGAGTTATTGTTACAAGGTGTAGAGTTATTGTTACACAGTATAGAGTTATTGTTGCACAGTATAGAGTTACATGGTGTAGATTTATTGTTACATGGTGTAGTTATTGTTACACAGTGTAGTTATTGTTACAAGGTGTAGAGTTATTGTTACAAGGTGTAGAGTTATTGTTACAAGGTGTAGAGTTATTGTTGCACAGTATAGAGTTACATGGTGTAGAGTTATTGTTACATGGTGTAGATTTATTGTTACATGCTGTAGAGTTATTGTTACATGCTGTAGAGTTATTGTTACATGGTGTAGAGTTATTGTTACATGGTGTAGAGTTATTGTTACATGGTGTAGAGTTATTGTTACACGGTGTAGAGTTATTGTTACTTGGTGTAGAGTTATTGTTACACGGTGTAGAGTTATTGTTACACGGTGTAGAGTTATTGTTACACGGTGTAGAGTTATTGTTACACGGTGTAGAGTTATTTTTACATGGTGTAGAGTTATTGTTACACAGTGTAGAGTTATTGTAGCATGGCGTAAAGGTTGTTGTTGAACTGTGTAGAGTTATTGTTATATGCCGTAGCCCTGATTAGTTTCAGCTTAAAATCTGTGCATATTAATTTTCACTTCACATTTCGGTGAAACTTGGTACATGCATGTAGATGCTCGAGGACAATGCACAGACTTGATTAGTTTTGGTTTAAAATCTGTACATATTAGTTATCTAATTTGCATAAGTAGTCAATTTTCGGCTTTTCCACAGATCATTTCAATGAAACTTAGTGCATAGATGCTCTGTGACATTGAGCAGAACTTATTAGTTTTACATTAAAATCTGTGCATATTAATCACCTGATTTTCATAATAGTCAGTTTTCAGCTTCTCCATCAATGGTTCAGGTACTTAACTTATTTTAGTTAATCTTGGTACATAAATACTCTAAAGCAATGTGAACATAATTTTTGGGTTTAAATACAACCCTAACAATAACCTAATTTGCTTAATAATTAACCAATTTCAAACCATATATATCAAGAAACAAAAATTATTGCATTTTCAATAAGAAGGTATATAAGTGCATGGAGACAATGCTAAAGACCTTATTAGTTGTGAATTGAAATTCAATCATATTATCAGTAATTGCCTAATTTGCATGATATTCTTAATCATAACATTTCATAGAAATTTGGTACATTCTCTGGAGTAATCCATAGAAGTGATTAGCTTGATGTTGAACACCTTGCATGTTGATTATTAGCCATTTTCTGATATCCCAAAAAATCAGATTTAAAGGTGATCTTGAATAAATTAGACTGCAAACCACAGATGTACAATCAAATATACTTTCTATGAGTATTATAAATTCATCAATGTGGATTACATTGTTTTCATATTGTGCATCTCAAATAACAGACAAATATTAGTTACTAAGCTTCTTGTTTTAAGGCTAATCTTAAATTTTGAAATAATTTTAAATATGCCTCCAATACTCTCAGCACACAGGATTTCTTGCTAGGCTTTCTTTGATTAATAATTGTTATCCAGTTACTTTTATTGAATGATAACCTAAGTAGAGTACATCATGATTTATGTTCCATATATCACTGGCAAAATTTATTAAAAACAGTTTCCTTAAAAGTCAGCATCACCTCTTTCCAAATTAACTTTTTTTTTTTAAATTGTCCCTTTGCTTATTACAGTGTTATATCTTGTATTTTGCAATTATTGTTTGTATATTGTTGTGAATTTTGCTAGTGAGTACATGTTTTCTTTGTTTTGTAATCATTTTAATTTCTTTTGAGAAGTTTTAAGGGTTCTTTAATAATAAATTGAATGTGTTCTTTTATAGATGGACCTCCATAGGTATCGTCATGGTGAAGCATTATCTGGAAACTAAAACTTATCATGGAATGTATGAAGCATTTGAAATGCCATTGAAAGTATTCCAGACTGCAGCTGTCTTAGAGGTATCTCTGCCATGTCTTCTTTGCAATTCATAACACCATTTGTTATGTAAAAAATCTGTCTTGTTTCTAATATTGCTATTTCCTCTGATGTTTATTGTGGTTTTGCTCTGTAGTTAACTACAGTGCACAGTTATTATAAACTTGAAAAGTGATTAAATTTAACATTTAATGGAGATACAATGTATACAGAGTTATTAATATTTCTTGTATACACTGCATAAGTAGTTTGAAAAATGATAATTGGTTTTTCATAAAGTGTGTATTTATATCCAGCACATTGGTAATAAATATTAAAACCTTTATAAACTGGAACCTTTCCAAAGAAACAAACCTCCTTTTGACTTGCATGTGTGAAGCACACAGTGGGAGTCTTTGTGGTTACCCTGTCTGTCTGTCTGTCTGTCTGTGGGTGTGTCTGTGTCTGTCTGTGTCTGTCTGTGTCTGTGTGTCTGTCTGTCTGTCTGTCTGTCTGTCTGTGTCTGTGTCTGTCTGTGTGTCTGTCTGTGTGTCTGTCTGTGTGTCTGTCTGTCTGTCTGTCTGTCTGTGTCTGTCTGTCTGTGTGTCTGTCTGTGTGTCTGTCTGTGTGTCTGTCTGTCTGTCTGTCAGACATGCCAAGAACCAATCATGACATTTCATGAAACTTAGTATATATATGATCAGTTTTTGATTGAAAATTGTGCATATTAATTATCTAATTTGTGTAAATTAGCCAATTTTTTATTCACAGATATCTCAAATATCACTCATCAGTATATTCGTGTTGATATCCCTCTTCAAATAATTGTATTTTTGTTTCAGATTGTTCATGCTATTATTGGTATAGTTCCGTCGTCAGTGGTTTTAACAGCATTTCAAGTCTTTTCTAGGGTCTTTTTATTATGGGGAATCATTTATAGTGTACCCGAGGTAAGGCATAATGTGCAAGTTTGATTTCTTTAGTGTTATTAGATTATTGTTCCAAGTTACAAATGTCTGTTTAACTTATTCCTAAATTACCATGATGTCAACGAATGTACCGTAGTCTCCGGTTTTACCTTTTCACCACCAGACTTTCTTGCTCAAATTTTTTTGCACTTTTTTTATTAGCTCCGCTGTCGACTTTGTCGAGCGGAGCTTATCATATGAGTGATTGTCCGTCGTCGTCCGTGTCAATGTTTTACTTTTTCGACTTCTTCTTGAAAACTACAAGCCTGAATGCTTTGATACTTGGTGTATATGTACCTTGGGTAGACCTCTCTTAGGTTTGTTCATTTCATGTTGATATCTTCAATTCTCTAATTTTGGTGAATATTTTTTATCATTTTTGGTAAAAAGTGATATTTACAACTTCTTGTTAAAAACCAATAGTTCAATTGCTTTGATATTACATATATAGATACTACATGTAGACCTTTCTCAGATTTGTTCATTTTGTGATGATATCTTCAATTCTCTAATTTTGGTGAATATTTTTGACATTTTTGGTAAAAAGTGATATTTTCGACTTCTTGTTAAAAACTGTAAGTCCGATTGCTTTGATATTACATATATAGATACTACATGTAGACCTTTCTCAGATTTGTTCATTTTGTGATGATATCTTCAATTCTCTAATTTTGGTGAATATTTTTGTCATTTTTGGTAAAAAGTGATATTTTCGACTTCTTGTTAAAAACTGTAAGTTTGATTGCTTTGATATTACATATATAGGTACTACATGTGGACCTCTCTCAGATTTGTTCATTTTGTGATGATATCTTCAATTCTCTAATTTTGGTGAATATTTTTGTAATTTTTGGTAAAAAGTGATATTTTCGACTTCTTGTTAAAAACCAAAAATTCAATTGCTTTGATATTACATATATAGATACTACATGTAGATCTTTCTCAGATTTGTTCATTTCGTGATGATATCTTCAATTCTCTAATTTTGGTGAATATTTTTGTCATTTTTGGTAGAAAGTGATATTTTCGACTTCTTGTTAAAATCTGTAAGTCCAATTTCTTTGAATACTATACATATTGTTCATTTTCTAATGATGTCTTCAGTTCTTTAATTGAAATGTGCATTGCTAACAGCGGAGCTATCTCAGCCGATAGGCTGCTTGTTTTCAATATTTCTGGAAATGAACCCTAATTTTTGAGCCAACAAAATTTGAGTCAATTTTTAGTTTTTACCTCACAAATTTGGCTATTTGTCCTAATCTTCTGAAAGAAATTGCAAACAGGATTATTTTGTGAATTTGTGTTAAAAAGAGGTAAGTGGTGGTGAAAAGGTTAATTTAAGGTCAAAAGAGACGAACAACTCTCACATTGCCACAGATGCAACTTCTCTCTTTCACAGCATCTAAAAATAGTATAACTATTACCCCCACCCAGTGTTTTTAAAGGACAGTAGTCGTCGCACCACGCATGTGCGAGATATAGGTCTCATTTTAACAAAGATTGCAACTTTGACTGTTGCATAGACCAACGAGTATAAACTGATTGATTGGAAGTTTCAAAGGAGTTGTCTGTGGTTATCAGTGCAAGTGACACCAGGGAAAAACTCGTACTTGTGATTTCCATTTGAAGAGCGCACTGGATTGTGGGAAAATCAATGTTTATCAACACAAATGTCGCACATGTGCAGTGTGCTGACCACCACCCTTTAAATAACTGATATCCATGCAAGGACACTGTATACATCTTTCTGTTTTGTTGATGTAACACATAATAATGGTTACATGACCTGTATATGCATAACTTGTATATTGATAGCACTGTCCACGATCCAGTTGTGGTTTGATAAAAGAAATCTAAACTTGCTAATCGTAAACTAACTTGTTATGTCTCTTATTCCAAGAATTGTCATAGTTTAGTCCTTAAGGTATAGATGCAGGTTTGTGGGCACTTGATGTGAAACATTTTTTTTTTGGCCTTTTTTTTACCCAGACAGTTTAGGCTAGATAGTGTTAAAATTTTGTGGCATTATCAATGTTGCAACAAACTCAAAAATCGATTTTAAAATATAGGAAACCGAGGCATGCTAGCCTTGCAAACTACAAAAAAAAAAAAAAAAAGACGTAGACACTTCAGCATGCAAGCGGAATAAAAAAAAAAACATACAGTTGTAAATGATAAGTAAACTTTTACCCTTATCCCGCAACATGTCGAAAACTTCTAGCCTGGCAGCTTCCAGTGGTATACTGTTAAATAATTTATTTTTTTATTAGCTCCGCTGTCGAGCGGAGCTTATAGTATTACTGATTGTCCATTGGCGTCCGTCGCCGTCGTCAACTTTACATTTTCAACTTCTTCTTAAAAACCACATACTGTATAGCTGTGAAACTTTCTAGGAAGGTACCTTGGGTGGTGCTCTCTCAGATTTGTTCATTTCGTGTGGATATGTTCAATTGTCTTATTTATAGCAAATATTTTTGTCATTTTTTGGTCAAAAATGCTATTTTCGACTTCTTCCTGAAAACCGCTAGCCCAATTGCTTTGATATTACATATCTAGGTACTACATGTGGACCTCTCTCAGATTTGTTCATTTCGTGATGATATCTTTAATTCTCTAATTTTCATGAATATTTTTGTCATTTTTGGTAAAAAGTGATATTTACGACTTCTTGTTAAAAACCGCAGGTCCAATTGCTTTGATATTATATATACTACATAGGTACTACAGGTAGACCTCTCTCAGATTTGTTCATTTCTTGATGATTTTGTTATATTTGTTATATTTTCAAATTTTTGTTGAAAACAGCAAGTCTGATTGCTTTAATACTATACATATTGTTCATTTGTTGATGATATCTTCAGTTCTTTAATTGAAATGTGCATTGCTAACAGCGGAGCTATCTCAGCCGACAGGCTGCTAGTTTATTTTCTCATCTGTAGTTGAATTAAACCTGTCAAAATATTACGGCTCATTTCAACCGGGGCGTCTAACTGTGCACAGTACATTTCACCGGAGATCTCAACAAATTTAGGCTCAACCCACCCAATGGCGATCGCTATGTGTACAATGACATTCAAAGTGTGAAATACTGAGCGGGATTGAATATACGGCACACATTCTGCTTGACAACTTTGTAATATGAAAACAAAACATACTATATACTGGACGCCGATTTGTTACTAACAACTGATGAACGTAGTGTGAAAGTTTCACTTGAAATAAACAATTGTGAGAGCTATTTAGGTTTGAACTTCCCTGGTAATTTAAAAAACACAAGGGGAGATAATGGTTAATTTGCATAACCATTCACTCAGTAAGAATTTTGCTAATGCTCATAATTAAAATGCCTGTAACAGTCCCAAATTCAAACCTATTATTGTTTTGTAAAAAGTTAAATATAGTGCATAATATGGAGATCTCGTCATTATTTTTTTTCACCTTGTTTCTTTTTGATTATTTATGTACAGTCTTGCTAAATCGTGCTAAGCATTCAAATTATTTTAAAATTGTCTTTTTACTATGTTCCACTATTCACAATGCTGCGAAATTTTAACAGTCTATAGCCAAGACTGTTTGGATAATAAAAAGCAAAAAAAAAAAATATCACTCCCAAGAGCCCACAAACCTACATCTATACCTTAGGTTAGTCACTCATGTATTAGGCTTCTTTAACAGTGTGGGAGTTTTAGATAATCCCTTGGTCCTGACATGTTATGCTATAGCACTCTAACCCTCCCACCCTCTTCCTCACCCTTCCTTGCATCTCCTCCCTTCTTCACTCACTCATCCACCCACCTCTTCATGTTTTTTTCAAACATGATGAGAAACCCAGGAAACTGAAAGTTTTTCGTTCAATGAACTTGTCTTGTTTGTTTGTTAGGTGCAAGATAACATTGGTGTAACTATGTCTGTAGCAGCATGGACTCCGACCGAAATGATACGATATGCATTTTATACATTTGGCCTAATGAATAGACTACCGTATTTAATTACGTGGTGTAGATATACTTTCTTTATTGTTCTGTATCCGCTAGGTGTTATGGTGAGTATTTTCAAAATATTCTTCCTCTATCTTACCAAAGTCAGGATAGTCAAAAATGAAAAATTTACCAACAGGTAATTCATTAGACCAGACGGTAATTTAGATGGTGATTTGCCCAGCCAAAAAAATCACAATAGAGTTATTACGTGAAGACATAGAACAAAACACTGACAGTGTCACATACATAAAAGTGATTTTAAGGGCAATCCTAGCAGAACGGATCGCCAACGAACATTCGTACAGCATATGTACTACTGTATTCGCCTACATCTAAGCTGTCAGATGATATATATGTAGTTATAATATCATGTTTAGTAACCTTTCTTAATTAGGGTTTCGAGCCCAGATGGGTCGAAAC